GATATCCTGATATAACTTCATTTCCTTTGTTTATAATCCATTGACGGAATTCCCCTGGAGTAGCATCCCCGCTGTTCGAGCAGTTGTGAGAAATTTGACATGTTCACATGCTTGGAAACGTTAATTGTATTTGCAAAAAAGAACGGTATTCCCAAGTTAATAAAACAATTCAACTGTTATTTCTCTAAACCTGTCCTATGGCTATTGATTTATTTATATACTAGTTTATTTTAAACTTCCTACTTTAAAATAAAATATTAAGAGGAGAAATAAGAAAATTTATTAATAATTTTATATTATTTCATTAAATTTGCTTATATAATCGTTTTTCCTGTTCATTTCTTTATCCCTCTTTATTTTTTATTTAAGATTTAAGACCTATATTTGTGTAACGCCAATTCAAACTAAATTGGTCATTATGTTGTCAAAAGAATTACCTTTGACAGAGAGATTTTTGCAATGTTTACAATTTATTTGATTTTTTTTCTTGACGTTTTTCAATTCTGAAGAGACTAGCATTTTCCGAAGGTAATGGTCTTTTCTTAGTAAAAGATTTCCCGATTGAAAGTACTTTTCAAAAACGACAGAAGTTAAAATCATTTATTGGTCAATATTACAGTTTTACACCACTCTCGACACGACACGCAAGAATGGCACAATTACACAGAAGACAAACACTTTGAGCCCTGAAGATGATCTGAATAAAGATCGAAACGTTGGCACTATAAAGAAAATGTTTTTCTGAAACCTACATCACACCAGACCGCATCTCACGATTTCTAAATAAATTACAGTTTTATTTGGAATGTAAGAAAGGCTCTTTAACGTATTACGTTGTGATATGTTTCAATAAAAAAGAGATATATTTCGGCACATACGGTTAAAAAAAAAATTCGAAGAACAAGCATTTCTGCCCAACTGATGGCTTATATGACGGGAAGGAAATTTTAGTCGGCCTTTTCCGAAGACACACCTTCCTATCATAGTCAATGAGATCTCCGTTGCTTCATTTGTATTTTACATATATACTGGGAAGCAAAAAATTCCAACCACCTGTACATTGTACTCATTTGTAACTTGATTTGTACATATTTTTATATGTTAATCGAAGTTTCACACTTTTTAACGCTAATAATTGAGTCTTTGTCTAAAAAAATGTAAATTGCTAAGGAAAATGAAAAAATTTAAAAAATTTGTTTTAATTATTTTTAATCTAATTTTTCTTTGTTTTTAGAGTTTTAATTAACATTTCAATATCGCGTATTTCCTCCTCTTGTCTTAATTCTCGAAGACGCCTCGACATCCTTTCTACGAGACTGGAAATGTCTGTTTGCTGGAGGTTAGCCCATTCTTCACGAAGAGTCCTTTCGAGATTGTGGTGTGTATCAGGAAGTGATGGATGTGGTGTTATTCGTCTTTTGAGGTTATCACGTAAATGTTCCATGGGGTGTGGAGAACGGGCTGGCGAGGCTAAGACCCTGATGTTATGCTGTTGAAGGTACGTTTGTAATATGCGAGCGACATGTGGCCGGGCATTAACGTGCATTAGATTGTCGCTGATTTTATCGAGGATAGGCAACGCATGATGTTCCAAAATTTTATCCACATAGAGAGTGGCCGTCAAAGACCTTCCACGAATAACAACCAACTCTGGGCGACTCTCCATTCTAATTCCCGCCCACACCATCACTGAGCTACTAGCTAAAAGGTTGGTTCTAGGAAAAATTACAAGCTTCAGACCTTTCATTTCTCCACACTCTTTCTCGCCCATCTGGAGATGGGAGAGCAAATCGATAATCTGTAATCTGTAAAAAGTACAGCATATCAGGCGTCCAAAGACCAATGACTGTTCTCGAGTAAATGCGAGCCGTGCAACTCTCTGCGTTCTGATCAATTCTGGTCTTCTTATGGGACGAAAAACCATCAGTCCATACTGATTTAATCTTCTTCGGGCAGTGCGTTCAGGAATCTGGACACCTCGAACTTTCTCGAGCTGATGAATCGTTTGAACAACAGTAAGGCGCCGGTTTCGCAACATTCTCAAAGTCAAAAACGGTCATTCTATGGTTCTGTTACCCTAGAGCGTCCAGAACCCTGGCCTTCTATGGTAGGACACAATTTCTCGAAAACGTCTAACGGCGTCTCGCAGAGTTTCGAAGAGAACTCCGATGGCAATACCCGCATACATGATGGAACGTCCATCATCAATAAGTTCCACACCACGCCCAACATCCTCAGCACTATGTGACATTTTTAAGTTTAAAATCGAAAGTAAGAAAACAAAGATGAAATCTAAGCAGTTTATTGCTTCAGAATTCAAATGAGACTGAATAAATCTTTTAAATTCCGTAAGAAGTAAAAATCGAAAAATCCTTTATCCTTATTTTGAATTAAGGATTAAGTGTGTTTACCTCTAATTGATATTCCCAATTTAAAATATAGCATAAACAAATATTTATTAATAAAAACCATGAGACAAATGTGTATTTGCAGTGTATTTGCATGGAATTATTTCATCCGGAGGAGTGTCAGCATAAACGGAACCCATTTCTGTTTTTTATCTATTGCCGTTAATCGGTCGTTTTAAGGCCGTTTATCAGCTGGCTCTATAGGTAGTAGGTTTTCTAGATAAGAAGATAGCAAGGTCAGGTCTAACAGTGATTCCGCAGAACTCCTTTATTCCTTGCCAGCAAACTCTGGCTCGCGAATATATTTGTTTCACCCTGTTGGCACCATCCCCCTCGAGTGCACGTATGGGAGTGCGGCCAAACACTCATAACAATTCGACGCCGCCTGCTTTCACTTTTCCACCCCCACACGGTAAAAATATGAAATGATTGTCGCACTTCAAATATCTTTGGCCTTATATACATAATTGTTTATGCCCCCTGGAAGTTCTGTCAGCTTCGCATCCTTTTTACCACGTCCCTTTTATTTTTCTGGCTTTTTCCCTCTTCTACATTTTTGAGAATTGGATCCCGCACAGTGAAAACTTACTTACCTACTTTATTTCTCCTCCTTCGTCTCCAATTGACTGTATGAAAAAATCCCAAATAGCATGTTACCTTTGGCAGTTCGGCGCCAGGTTAGATCGAAAAAAAATTTAACTTAAAATGAAACCATGAAATGAAAATAATCTCGGAAAGAAAATAAAATTGGGTATGCGAGGGAGAAGTTAACAAATCCACGTAAACAATTCAATTAATTGAAACAAAGTAGTAATCATAATTAGAAATAGGTTTAACACTAAGGGTCGTTTACGCTACTTAAGACAAACTATTCTGGAATGTCCCATACTCAGAGTCACAACAAAGAATCTGAGGACGGGACAACCCAGAATAGTTTTTTGTAATTTTTCTTCGATAGCATAGACAATCACTTAGAGTTAAAACGATTTCTAATTAATTCTAAACAAGGACGGCATGGCAGTATCCTTGTCCTGTATTTAGAGCGTCCACTAATTAGTCGTGTTAAATACATAGAAAATTAATCTTCCACCCCTTATCGAAGGTTTTTATTTTAACTACCTAGAAAGTTTAAACAGTATACATTTTAGCATAAGCTCTACTTTCAAACATTACAATAATTACACGTAAGTTGGTGTTTCAAAAATGCATTTAATTTTGATTTAGTTGTAAATACATTTTCATTCGGGAACTCTCAAGTCCATTCGATTTTATGAAAAATGGCGAAAAGGAATTGAAAATCTGTCTAGAAAAACTTAGTATAGCTTTTTCAGTCAAATTAACCTTTTCTAATTTCAAATTAACCTATTTTTAATTTCAAATCAACATTTTTTAACATTGTTAACTCGTTTAAATTTTAAATTAACCCCTTTCTTTAAAGCATTAAAAAACTTATGACGATATGATGTATATGTACAGTAAAATTCCTGTATATTAGAAATTTTTTTATATATAAAATAATAGAGCTCTTTTTGACTTTGTGAGAATTATTTTAAAACATAAAATGGGTTCTTCTATATCTAATAGGTAGGTTAATTACAATTAATATTAAAAGTTTTAAAAAAGTAAATGAACAAAATAAATGATTCTTCTAATAATTGGAGAATGTTTTCAAATAACAAACCGTTTCTTATCTAAAATACTTAAAATTAACCACTGCTAACATTAAAAGTTTAAAATTGTAAGTTAAAAATTTAAGATATTTTTCAAATATTAAATAATTATTTTATTGAGCGATTATTTTATATTTTCAAAAAATCTGGGGTTAATTTTAGAAAAACAAATTATTTTTATATTAATTCCAGATTTTTACAAATATAAAGTCATTTTTGTATAAGAGAAGAATCATTGGTTTTTATATTTAATTTTATATAATTCTTAATTTTATTTGTAATTAGTATTTACATGATTTTCTAAGTTCTCAATTATTTTGTATTTAAAAAACTTCAAATGCACAGGGATTTTATTTTATCTACTTATATTTCCTTCCATCTCCCATCGTTTTGTAAGGCTTAAAAAAGGGTTAATTAATTATTTAATTATAATTAATTTNAAGTTAAAAAGAGGTAATTCAAAATTAAAAAGGGTTAATTTGAAATTAAAAAGGGTTCCTTAAAATTAATAATAATGAACTTGAAGTTAAAAAGAGGTATTTCAAAATTAAAAAGGGTTAATTTGAAATTAAAAACTGTAAATTTCAAGTTTAAAAGGATTATTTTGAAATTTAAAAGGATTAATTTGACATTACAAAAGGTTATTGTGAAATAAATAGAATTGATTCTATGATAAAAAGGATAAATTTGAAATGTTAATAAAATAGTTTGATGATAAAAAGAGTAAATTTGACGACAAAAATGGATATATCTCAAAAATAACACGTTAAATCAGACATGTAAAATTTTCTATTGGGCTTTGGAAAATTAATAGTAGAATATGTTTAAAAAATTATACCTGAATGTTCTTTAAAATACTAAAATAATTTGGCATGTTAAATTTATTTATGTGAAATTATATCAAAGTGAATATTTTTTTTAGTTCGTCCTACGTCGGTGAAGATTTTATCTGCACCAAGTTACATGTCATCGGGTACAATTCATCAGTGTATATGTAGCACGGAAGGATCGTTGCCGCCTGCTAACATTTCCTGGTTCATAGATGGCGAACCAGTCAGGAATTCAATAATCACAGTGAGTGAAATAGTAAATAGATTCCGTTCTAATTGACACTCTAGAGAAATTAAAGTGCAAATAATTGTGGTGAACAGGTTAAGATAGGAGTGAAGGAAACCAGTAGTATTTTGAACTTGAAAGCCCAGTGGAGCGACGATGGAAAAGTTCTAACGTGTAAAGCCTCAAACTCCAAGTACCCTCATTTTCACATGAGTGAAGATCGTCATTTGAAAGTTGGATGTAAGCAGATAAACCGGTTTTCCCCATAATTAAACTTGATTGATATAAGTTAATCCTAGTTTAACTGAATAGTTTTAGCAGCTATTAATTTTTTTTTAATTTCCCATTTTATTTTAGATCCTCCAATTGTCTCTGTACGCATTTTGTCGAATCGTGATCAGAATTTTCTTCAAATGGGCGACAATATCACCTTGCTCTGCCAGGTTAAGTCTAATCCGCCAGTAATGTCCATAATGTGGTACCACAGAGTAAGTAACAAATATATTAATTATGACAAATACGCAGGAAATATATGCGGGATGTGAGCTTAGTATTTTCCTCTCAGGTTTTCAATAACTACTCAATCTGGAAAAAAATAATGGCCGATTTAGAACGTTGTAATAATTTCTTTTTTTTTCTTTTAAATTTCCCTTGATTTAACGTGCTATTTTTGCAATATCTTACGTTTTTCTGGAGTCTGGACTTATTTTTAAATGGTTGTTGCCATTACTCATAAAATAAGGAATTCTATTTTTTGAAGAGGAAAAATGCCGTATTGACAAATTCCCTACAGAAACTATCGTTTCTTCGGTAAAAAATCACAAGGAAAAATATATGAAATTATCAATCATTATATACATATATTTTTTTTTTTAATAATGAAAACTTTTTTTTATGGAATGAACAAGATTAGAGTAGAGGTAAAGTGTTCTGCTTCGAGGAGAATTGGTTGAAAAACAACACCTGCTACCTTTCTGTTTTTAATATTTTTCTTCAGACAACCAATCACTTACTTTCTTTTAAAATGTGTTTTGATAAATGCCAATTGTCGGATCGATGGCCGATGGATAGAAAATAATGAAAACTTTTTCATTTCTATCTTTCGGTCCGACGAAGTTGCAGCCATTCATCCATTCTTATTTCAAAGAAAGGGTCTTTATTCTCAACAGATTTAATTTGTTAATTTTCTTTACACGACATGCAAACCCCTTCCGTCGGATAAGAGGTAAAGCGTTTAAATCTTCGTTTATCAAATTTTCTTTCATTACGGAAAGTTTGAAACAATTTCAATATTGTCTAAGCCCTGTAATATGCTATAAATCCGACTGTAGATTAGGGATAGGCGTTGTTATGTGTCTTAAGACGGATATATAAGACGAAAAGCGAAAATAGTTCCTATTTAATTACCGGAGGAAGTGATTACATTGATATTTGATTGATAATATTTTTTTTAAGATTTCTATATCTGATAGTAAAGGGAAACACAGTTAGAGACAAATTTATGTATCTTTCAATATCATTCTTTTTAATCTATATATGACACAGCATTAAAAATTAATTTTAACGTGGATATGGTTTTGGACTGTATACATCTCTTTTACTATTTTCGCGTTCCAAGGAGAGCTGATAAGTTGGGTTAGGTCAGGATAGGTAGGGTTAGAGTTAATGTTAAGATTAGGGACCGGTTAGGTTAGGTTTGTATCGTTAGGGCTAGTGATAAGGTTAGCTACGGGTTAGGGTAGGTAGAGCTAGGGTAAGAGTGAAGGTCCGGTTAGGTTACATATATATGATTCAATGTTTTTTCGTTAGGAGAAGAAAATATGTGAATTTTATCCTTCTCCTTCATTCTCATCATCTTCCTCCATGTCATGTATCAATCTCAATAAACTATCTATTTTATCGTGCAAGCGCATCATTTTATTTGTGATTCTAAATTCGAACACATTATTATTAATTTATTTATGTATCCAATGCGTATTATTACATAAATGTGTTAAGTTTTAAAATCTCTTGTTCAAAATTGATAGTATGGCCTGCACGTTGTACGAAAAAACAACTTGCACCGAACAGAATAAGGCACATCAAGCCGAAAGCCACTTCATGACAACGATCGCCCCGATGTTTCAACGTTGACCGTTCAAAAGATAAGAAATCTGAAAATGGAGGTCCTTTCGCACCCCCATATTAAAGCCGATTACAGTACCTTTCCCCAACAGACTTTCACATTGTTTTCTTAGACTGGAAAAAACGAAATCGATAATATTTTCTTAAATCCGACTTCCAATAATTGTCGTGGTTGACTCATAATTTCTAAAATGTGAAATCTATAGAAAAGAATGACGCTTATTTTGATTAATTGATTGAATTAAGATGCTTTTTATCAATTTTTTCGTTATTAATTAAAATTAACACTGTTGATATATTTAAAACAACCCAACAGCTTATGCCTAATTTCACACATAAATATCTATTTGGCCAGGTCTAACATCGAAATTTGTCTCTATCTGGCTTACTTATTGGTACAATAAGATTTACACTTCTCTATTCACGAAATTATTGACCACACTAGTTATATGGCTCTGGTCTTTTCAACCATCTAACGAGGTTTCGGTTGTGCAGGAGTTTCGTCGCTTACATGGCTGAGTGAGACGGGTGTTGGGCGGCAAATCTTTCTATTTCCGCCGTGACCTCAGGGATCTTAAGATCCCTATGTAAATCCTTACATACCAAGGTGCATTGACAATGAAATGATGTTTGTAGATCGACCTGCAGATAATCAATGTAGAGTTCAAATCTTCTTTAAGGTCTTTACTAGGTGGTTTTTTTTTCAATTTGTTATTAATATTTTGTAATTTGTCCGTAGGGTCCTCACTCAAAACTTCATATTTATCCCTGTCCCCCAGTATCTCATTCATTTTCTCCCGGTACTCTTGTCATAACAACATTAACATTGCCTTTATCTGCCTTAACTAACATTAAGTCAGGGTGTTCCTTAAAAAACCGTTTACAAATTGCAACGTTTCTCTCCATTTCTGATTTTCTTTTATTTTTTAACTGGGACAAAGCATTCCTGAATATGTTCACAGCATCAGCTCTAATGCTATCTTTCAATTGTTTTTCTATAACTCAATCTGTTAAGGACTCTATCTCCACAATTGAATCAATAATGGGAAAATTGCAATAATTATATGGCATATTAAAATTTTTGTTAAGACCAGCAATATGCTTAACATCATTAGGTAAAGGAACATCCGTCAAATTTACAATAAAATTATCGTTTAAATCACAACTTGTTGTTAAATCACCTCCACTGCACAGTCCCACAGCATTATTTACATTACTATTATGTTCTAAAAATAAAACAGAGAATTTATTGTTAAGGTTTGAGTTTAATTTGTTAAAATTTCTATTAAAGAATTTTCTTTGGCTTTCAACGAAAGAGCTAACCACATTGCCTGGCAACCTTCTATAAATTCAACCTGACTCTTTATCAATTTGTGCATTAACTCTATTGAGTTCCCAAATGGAATCCCACCTAGTAAACACCTTAAAGAAGATTTGAACTCTACATTGCATTGACAATGTTACGTTAGATTTGATTTTAGGGTGTATAATTTTGATATTACTGTGTTTGGCACAACCCCATTGTTGAATACCATACATCTACATGCTCTTTAGGACTTGTTTATATAATAATATTTTTTATAGCAAGGTTCGAGCGGCGTCCTATCAACCAGTACACTTGTCTATAATTCAAACCTATTTCCGTCCTTTTTTCTTCACGTGCTCTTTCCATCTCAGCTTGCCATTTAAGGACATTTATACATATTTAGCTGTATCGCTGTATGGCATAATAAATAACTCCATCGATGATGAGAGAAGGAACGTGGTCCAATTTTTTGTTTATAGAATTTGGGCGTACAGTTTCCATTTTTTGTCCATTTATATATCCCGTTACAAGGGAAGAGTATTGAATGGATGGTTAATGGTCGGTCCTACTTATACCATCGCTGTACCTTCTGCAATTCTTACTCAACCCATTTTCGGAAAATCACAGGTATATAACAAGTAAATTAGTGGACCTAGTATGCCACATTGTGGCACGCCTGCATTTCTTGTTGTTCTGAATTCTGATTCTGAATATTCGTATTCTTATTTGACTCTAAAATGAATGTCAGTTGGTAGAAAATTGTATCTAAATACGGCTTTGGTAGCATCCCTCTTATCTTACTGACGAGTTTTTCATACCATACCTGGTTAAAAGCTTGTGAGTCATGAAGGAAGATAGCACAACAAACTTGTTTTTCTTCGAGTGATTTTTCTACAAAGTCAGTTGCTCGGTGAATTTGGTCTGTTGTTGAATGTCTTGTTCGGAACTCAAATTGGTGGTGAGGGATGACTGTTGTTTTTCTACAATGTCCTTTATGTCTTTTTTTCTACAATGTCGTTTACAATGTCTTCGAAATTGATTTTAACACTCAAACTTATCAAGACTGGATGAACGTTACAAGACAAACTTCCTCTGCGGTTTTGTTCAAAATACAAATTAAATTTTAAAGTCGCAGCTTTAGACATCAACTAAACATAACGTTACCGCCGAGTGATGTTACGATGTCGAGAAGATGTGGTATGGTAAAAAACAGTAATTTTTTTACACGCATTCTGATTCTTTCAATATAGGCTTAAATCTGAAATATTTTTTAATTAAAATACTACCTCTAACTGCCTAAATTATGCCCGATGTATAATGTAATTAAAATATTACGAGTGTGCAAACTCGTCGGGTTATCTTCAGATAGAAACTGGATGCTGAGTAGGTAAAATGTTATTTGCATTAATAAATGGAAAGCCGAATAGGGAAATGAGAAATATCCTTTTGAGTTTGCGTCTTCTTTCTGACAGCTGTCTAAAACCGTATTCAGAATTTATTTTGAAGAATTTTACGCCATTACTTTAATTATAAGGCATGTTTAGATTGTGTGAAAAGACCACTGGGAGTAATTGTAAGCGTCATTAGCCTGGGAGGTACTCAACTAAACTAATGAGGAACGCCCACAATGAAAATTGTCAAATCCGCATTGTCTCCTTCGTAAGTAGTTCATGACTAATTATGAAAAATAACCAGACGCTGCAAACGCGACTTTTGTGTTCAAGAAATGCCTTAATACTTCTTTTACTTGTATCTAAGTCATTGAAAAGAAAATAAACGATTATACGTGACCCAAATCAAATCGAAATCTTAAAGCATTTTTTTCAATTTCTTTCCTAAGACAGGCTCGTGGAACATTCAAGAAATATGGCCGTTTAAGCCCCTTCCAAGACCGCAAACTAAAAGACAGCATCACATTCCTTATCATTCACGCTAATTATACATACTAAATTTACGATTATACTTTGTCGAAGCGTAAAATACTTATTTATTACTTCGTTTGACAATAAATTAAAGAAAAATATTTCCTTGGGCGTCTTTGTTTGATTAACCTTTAAA